AGGGAGACTGTATTGCATCATCGTTGATGCGTCTTGGGTTTGCACTGATCCTCCTCCTCCTCCACTTCCTCCTCCCTTCATTGACGATCGAGGTGCCCAGGCTAACCTGGTGAAGGTTTCCTCGATGCAGGTCCGAGGGATGGTGTGCTCAGTGGCTGCTCGGGGTTCTGATCGTCACGCCTTGGGTCTCCAGGGAGGCCCCGAAGCCCATCCAAGCCACCCGATTTTCTGGAGGGGAGCCAAGAAGTGGTGCACCAGGAAGTCCAGCACGCGAAGTACGCACCACCAGCGATGTGCGAGAGGTCTGGTCCCTAACGTGCACTGGCCGCAGCTCAGGCTCTTTCAGCATAGGCTTCATCACGAGCAGTGTTGCCAGAGATTTAGCGTGGCACCCGGCACACTTTGGCATGGAGTGTACGAGTGTTTTGCGAATGAGGTGATGAGGAGAGACCACGTCGGCGCGCTCAGTGAGCATGGCACGACGGGTTCGAGAATCAGGTGCGGTCCAGGTCGAGAGGTTTGCCCGAGAAGTGGTTCTTGATCCCGGGAGCTTGTTCGACGTTCGGCCTGAGGAACAGCAGCCCGAGAAGGGCCTCCTTCAAGGGAAGAAAAGCACCCCGACCCTCACAGTCGGCGTTTATTAAACAGCATCGTGCGTTTACGAAGCAGCCCTGCCCTGTTCGATCCCTGCCCTGGGTGCGTTTACGGAATATTTTGCCGCGGTGCTTGTTATGAGGGTGGTTGTTCTGCCCTCTACCCTTGTCGGACCTTTTTGTTGGACGGGTCGGCCAAGTACACGGGCTTCGACGACCTCGAGCGGGCGGGAAGGGCGATCGTTCGGGTGAACAACAGAGAAGAGGTCCAGCACGCAGCGCCCAGACCAGTACCATTGAGTGCTATCTTGGGCTCGCTGTGGCCCTCTTGGAGCCAACTTGGGCGAAAAGGTACGTTCTGACCCCGCCCCCCTCCCGTCCAGGCCCATGGGGAGGGGGTAGGGGGAGGGGTCAAGACACCCTCCCCGCCCGCAAGCCGTCTCGCTCACTCCCACCCGCCCTCCCAACACATACGTAGCACCCGAGTCTGGCCCGAGCCTCAGCATATTCAGCAGTCGTCTTTGGATGGGCAGCTACTTGGGGCCAATCCGCCGCCGCCGCCGCCGCCGCCGCCGCCGCCGCCTCCGCCGCCGCCGCCGCCGCCGCCCCCCGCTGCCAAACCGCCGCCGCAGCCGCTGCCGCCACCGCTACCGCCGCCGCCGCCGCCGCCGCAGCCGCCGCCGCCGCCGCCGCAGCCGCAGCCGCCGCCGCCGCCGCCACCGCCGCCGCAGCCGCCGCAGCCGCCGCCGCCGCCAAGTGTACTCCGTATTGTTTTTGACAGGGATGGTTGGGGGGGCCGCATCGGGTTGGCTGCGCATGTTCCGAATTTGGAGGCAGAATGTGTGTTGTATTGTTTTTTACAAAGGATGGTGGGGGGGTGTCGTCATGGTCCCTGGTTGACCCCCAGTCGCCTGGGGGAGGGGGTGTTTATTAATAGGGAACAGTGATAGACCCCTCCCCGAAGGGGAAGAGGGAGGGGTGGAAGAGGAAACGCCCTAAACCACCGACGCCCAGCGGGCTGGTGGGATTGCATCGTTGACTTCATTACATGCGTAGCATGCTTTCCCCAGGATCCGGGGTTTCCATGCCCCCCCCCGATAACCTTGCCAAAGATCCCCCAGCTCGTCCTGGACCTCCCAGGGCGCTTGCCCGGGTCTTGCCAGCAGACCCCAGGCGATCAGAGCGGTGATCAGAGAGGCCGAAGAGAGACCCAAGACAGCACAAGAGCGCTCCGTGAAGGACCCAGATGGCCTCTAGAGGCCTCCAAAACGGTCCAGGAGGCCTTGAACAGGACTCCCAGAACACAAAAATCCTTTCATCCCCCCAGGGAAACGTGCATTTTCAGCATATTCGCTGTTCGGGCTTGAGCAGCGCCCGAAACAGCCAAAAAGGCTTCTGGCATCTCCCCAAGACGGTCCAAGAGACCCCCAAGAGAGTTTCCTCTGGACGGCCTGGATTGCCCGACTACCCAAGGAAGCCCCGCATGGGCCAAAAAGAGGCCCAACAGGCCCTCACAGGGCCCCCAAGAGAAGCCCAAGAAGGCCATGGGAGGCCCCACGTAGCCCCCGAGGTCCCTAGAGGGCCCAGGCTCCCCAACACAGCTCAAGATGGCCCCAGGACGGCTCGAGAGGGCCCCAAGCCGGCCCACCAGGGCTCCAACAAGGCCCACACAGCGTTCTCCACCAAACTGACCCGAATCCCGGGTTCGCAACCACATTTCCTGGAAATATGTTGCGAACCCGGGATTCGGTGCAGTCCTTAAGAACCGCTTACTTTCGCGTGCCCCGCTGCGACCCGCTGCAACATGACATCCTCGGCGTGCATTGCGTTGTACTTTGCGGCATTGGTTGATATTGCGTCGGTTTGCTTGGCATTCATTCGCGTGGCTTGCCATTCCTTCGCATTGC